TAGTTCCTTTGATATTTTTTTTCTTGTACAGCATTTGTTTTTATAAACGCGTTATCCTCTTTTTTGTACATTGCTCAGTGACTCCAGGGTATGGCCCACGCCAAGAGAAAGACTCGAAAGCTTAGGGGTCATGTGTCACATGGACACGGTCGTATTGGAAAGCACAGAAAGCACCCCGGTGGTCGTGGTAAGGCTGGTGGTCAACATCATCACAGAATCAACCGTGACAAATTCCACCCTGGTCTTTTTGGAAAGGTTAGCTGTTTGTGCTTATACTTTTTTAGAATTCAACTATATTTATATGATTAGTCCGTTCATCAGTCGCTCTGATCATTTGGCAGGACATAGAAAGTCAAAAAGACCGCTAAAATTCGCCCATAGGGTTATGACACGTTGATCATGAGCGTCATTTCAGTTGGTAGCCCATTTTCGAGCTAGTTTACAATAGCTGGATTGAAGCTCTGATTTGGTTGAAAGAATTTTCTAGAAGTCCTCTGAATGCTACCCAGCTTATCTATTATGCATTGAGTGGTTTGATTGAAATAGTTAATGTATTGTACTTGCTTATTCACAAAAAGATCCTCTTTAACCTCTACAGGTTATGATAGAAAACTGCATACTAAGGCACCCTTCCCACCTCAGAAAAGTTTCGTACGACATCTATGGCGCGCGCCATACTCGATTCACTTGATTTACTTAATCCACTTGATCCACATCGCTGCTGGTTAAATCACCTAACTGACCAATGCGAAGCGATCCAGCTTCATCCACTCGAACTTGATCCGCTTCGCTATTGGTCAGTTCACTGATTTGATTAATAGCGAAGTGAACGATGTGAATCAAGCGTGTCAGTGGATCAGATGGCGTGCGCTTGTATGACAAGTGTGATCCCAACCCCTCGAGGCAAACTTTCAGCAAAATCCGCGGTTTAGACTTTTGGGACTTGCTGAGTTGATAGGTAAATAACCCTCAATCTTGGCTGATTTAGGTCGGTATGCGAGTATTCCATCTGAACAAGAACCAATATTATTGCCCGACAGTGAATGTTGACCGATTGTGGTCCTTAGTACCTGAACCAATTAAGCAGCAAGCCAGCCCCGACAAAGCTCCAGTCATTGACTGCGTGAAGGCTGGTTACTTCAAGGTAAGCTTGCATAGATATTTCTGGGATTTGTATTGTATTTTTTGTTTCCTTCCATCTTGGCGCTTCTATCTCTACAGGGTAGTAGTGTATGTAGTGGAAGGTATAGTATGTCCCTTGGGATATTCGGGTCTCCTTCGGTGCTGTTCTAATATCTATCGAATAGCGTCATCCTCTGGATTCGAGACATTCATTTAAAATTGCCAGTAAACTTGAAGAAGTACACCATTTCAAGTGTTATGTTGAGCTATAAGTTCTTATTTGACAGTTTACAAGCGGAACTACTGCAACAAATTTGTGAACATAGGAATTGGCAGATTTTTTGTTTGTGTACTACGAAGCAGTTGGAATTAGTACGAATCTTTTTGGAATTTTTACAGCGTAAAAAATGAAAGACGTCGCATGTGATTGTCTTGAATCACATATTGTCGCGTTTTCCTGTCGTTCAGCGCTTATGTTTTGATCTTCCGCACATTGAAGAGGAAATGTGCAATTTTTAGTCTTATTAGTAGAGCGAGGC